TTAATAGATATTATTTTCTCTAGTAATTTAATATTTGTGCTTTTACTTTTTTATTTTTTTTTTATTCTTTGTAAATGTAAAATCACGCGTTTAAATTTAATTTCATTGCAATGATAAATAGATATTTAATAAAAATAAAATAGAGAATTTAATTAAAAAGTGCATCTACGAATTGGACGATTCATATGTTAGGCTACTTTATATCACTTGATTGTATGATTAATATAGTTTTCTTTTTGTTACAGGTGATCTTCGTTGGATTTAACAACARACCAATGACTTCTTTTTATAATATATGTATAAATGCATTTCTGAAGGCACACACATAAACACTAAATATAACATTGAATATTTGCACAGGTTTACAACAAATTTTAAATATGTTTCTTAATAAAATGTTTAATTTATTATTATATCTGTTTCAGACTTAAGACTTTAATGGATCTACTTGTTTTTTTTATTTTCCCATTATTTATTACAGGCATCACAAAAAAGGTAGTAATTTTATTTTGCTTATTTATATGATATGATAACAAAATGTAGGATTTTCGAAAAATCATCGGTACAAAACTTGATAAGAAAAGGGATAAATGATAAAATTTTGCTACGTAATCTTTCATCTAGCTGCGACTCTAGAATTATAGTAGACCAAAATCTGAAAAAATTTTTAGTTATAACTACTGGTAAATGAAACCACGTCTTATTTAGTAGAGAAACTTGCATCGTTGTGCACAGTGTAGTTTAAAATTTAAATAAAGATTTGAAACTTGCGGTATATCATTTTTTATTTTTATTTTTTCTAACTGTTAGGGACTTCTGGGAGCATAACTATTCATAAATATTTAATATATGAAACGATTCTAATATAAACGTTAAGTATCTATGAAGCATTTCACGTTATGATCAAAAGTGGTTGATTTGACGTGGAATGCTCCATATGTATATGGATATGTGTGAAATAGAGATAGAGAAAGGTGTCCCGACCCTACACAGTTTCGCATACGGAGTGGCAATCGTCGATAAAGCTGAATTACCGACATTAATAATCAAGGAGAAGTACGTGCTAGCCTATTCCCAGAGCTCCACCACTGGGTTCTTCTATCTCTTTAAATCTCTTTTAGTATGTGTCTCTGAATAACTCGTAGTAGCTAACCCCCTTCGGCTATCGAAAAGTCCTCTGGTCTTTTCTTTTACCCTTTTCTCTTTGTCGTATCTAACAGAAGTTTATAAAAAAAGGAATAAAGAAAATGTGAGTTTGGTTGAATCCCCTCACAAGCAGACACCACTTCATTAGTTTAATTAATTTCTGACAGGACGAAAGTAAATGAAAAAAAAAAAAAAAAGAAAAATAAAAAGAAAAAAGTGACTTTTGACGAATCCTTCTTGTCGTATCAGTAACTCACCAAGACTAACACCCAACTCACCACTAGCAGCAGTAGAAGCAGCAGCAGATGCCGATACCTGACCCTTCCATTAGAGGTATTGAATTCCTCTTATGCTCTTTGACTCCCATACGATCCACTCAACCACCTTCTCTTCTCATTCGTGTCAAACCAGGCTTGCGAAAACCGCAGAAGTCGTAGTCGTCGTAGTCGTCGTAGTCGGACCGAATGGAGTCACAGTGGTTTTGAGTTTAACAGGTGAGCATCGTTGACCCGTGAACACCAATGAAAATATATATTTATCCCGTCGCACGTTTTAACTTCATATTCTTCTTCAACTATATCATAACCATACGGTATTTTAGACGTGGGAATAGATTTTCATATATTCAACATTTCAATTTATTGAATCTGAGAAGGTGAGGGAAAAAAATCTGTGATAAGATTTGAAGAAAATTGAATAGAAACGGTATATTATTAATGATGAAAATTATCAACAAAAAATTAAACATAGTTAAAAATACAATTTTAAACCAATAGATGTTTTTATGATAGAAAACATGGGGCTGGGGGGGGGGKGGGGGTGGGGTAACACTTGTTCGATTTTTGCATGTAAAGTATGAAAATGCTTTCCCTCTCCTTCTCCTGAAAGGAATATTTCATTCACCTTCTTCGACTTCAAACTCCATTTGACTTGGTTCTCAACTATATCATAACCATTTGCTATTTTCCACGTGTAAATCTCTTTCCACATGGAACATCGGAATAATATTATATATGGGAATCTGTTCTTCGTGACCCCTAGGTTAGGTAACCGTCGATCCCTTCCCACATAAGTCGAACGGCCGTAGGTCATGTCGGACGGGCGCATACATCAAAGGACTTGCCGTCTAACGGCTGCCTGTTAAAGTCCACGAAAAGGGTGGGTGGGTGGTTGGGTATTCTAAAAGGGTGATCTTTGCCCAAGGCTCCGAATAAATCTGTCTTTTAGCTGTCCCTTTTACTAAAAGCATGATTTTTCTTATTTCAACCCCTTTTTTTCTTCTCTTTTTTTTTCTCTTCTTTTAACTCTTTCTCTCAATAGGTTGATAAAAAAAAAAAGGTTCAAGTGAAATTTCATGTTTTAAATCGACTTTGACCGATTATCATTTCGATCCTATCCCATAAACTATTGATTTTACATTATACATGTTATGTGTGTGTGTGTGTGTTAGAAGTGTAGGAGAGACCAGTTTAAATTAACGAACTATTCCTATGTTCTCTCTTTCTCTCTCTCTCTCTCTCTCTCTCTTTCTCTTTGTCTCTTCCTGTCTATCGGTGAATACCGTTTTGCGAACTAATTATGAGAATCGGCTGTGCGGCATATAATTAAGTGGGCTAACGTAGGGAATTAATCTCCCTTTTCTCTACGCGTTTCGTTCTAATCAGATTGTGGTTTTGCGTTCGATTGATTGCGTTTTGAAAAATTTCATGTAATTTTCAAATTACGATTTAACGTTAAACGAAAATATCTAAAAATAACTTTTTGTTATATTTTAATTCGATTAATTGAATATTTAGAAGGATAACGATACCATTTGCAATATTATTACTTGTTTAGTTAGTTTTTTAGTTGTTTTGCTTTTCATTGAATATTCACTGAGAAAATGTCAAGTAACGACTGACTGCCTTGTTAACTTTTAACCATAATAAATTCAAAAGCATATTTTCTATGGATCGGTTCTACTATTACTAATACTAATACTACTAGTGTACGTGCTGCGGTTATATATAAACATACAGATACACACACACACACATACGTGATGAATGCGTTTGACAGAATGTCAGCTAATCGCGTTGGTCGCTTTAAACTTGCACCTTTTGGCACACTGTTTCAACCACCTGTCTACTCTCCTTTTCCTGTGAAAACCCCTCTTAAACTCTGCCTTTCTCTATTGAGAATACAAAACGTATTTAACGTTTTATCGAATTTTGTCATTTTCTGATAATTGCTTTCGTTGTTGCAAAAAAAAAAAAAAAAAAAAAAGAAGAAAAGGAGGACACACAAAAAGAAATTTAATTATTTTTTAAAGAGAAGTTTCTGTTTTTCGTACGTCTCGGCAAAATATTTTGAACAAAAATGTTTTATTTTACTCGTGAAAATATTTTTTTTCGGAAAAGATGACACATTTGAATCGTCAATTTTATTAACTATATTATTTAAAATATTGCCTTATCGTAGTTTGACAACTGCTGTTAAAAGAAAAGTTTATTTTTCATTTTTTTTTTGTTTTCTTTTCTTTCCTTCCTTCTTTTCTTCTCAACCCCATAGATTTATTCTTTTTCGACAACAGATTTGAAATTTCCAAATTTGATGCAATCTTCCTAGCAATAGGAAGTATACTTTTTTTTTCTTCTTCTTCTTCTTTTTCTTACAACACGTATTTCCGATATTTCTGCGTAGCACGTGCATCCCTAACATAACGAAAGTAGGGAGAAACAACCCTCAAAACACGAGGATTATTTGGGGATTCGTTTGGTATCCGGATGCGACGATTCGGTAAAACAGGACATTACAATGCGATCTGTGTTACCGACCGAAAGGGAACGTGACAACAAGATATTTTCAAACTGATGTGAGATGCGGATATGTAGTGTGTTAGAGGGTCGTCAAGGGGTGTGTGTAGGATTTGAGGAAGGATTTTCAAGGTGGTACAACCATAAATATTTATAAGGAGGGTTTTGCAGTTTTGTCCTTCCAGTTTGTTTCTCACGCAGTAACTTTCATCGTTTTCTTACTTTTTTTTTTTTTCTACCTGCTTCTTCTTAAAGTTAGTATCCCTTAGTCCTTTCCTTCTTGTTGTTTTTTTGCTTCTTCTTCTTCTTCTTCTTCTTCTTCTTTCATTTTTACCTTTATTTTTTAAGATAGAACACGACAAGGATCGTTACGACGTTATCGGAAGCCGAGATGAAAAGAGCTAACTTTCTCTTCTATTTTTTTTTCTTTTTTCTTTTTTTTTATGTCCTTCAAGTACTTTCATCGTGTCATCGAAATAAGTGCAGAAAATGGTCAGATGTAATACGATACCGAAAGAAAAAGTTGATCTTCATAGTTTAGAGGAAACTACTTGTTTCCATCCCCACCCCTTCATTATCTTCTCGCGTTATAACAAATTTATTGAAAAATTGATCATTTTAAAGAAAAATATATCATAAAATATGTATTAACAAAATTGATATCCAATTTTACAAATAACACACAGATAGAATTATTTTAATTATAAAATAAGCAACACACACATATATTGGGAATATTATTTATAAAAAAAAAAATTTGGATTAATTGGAAAAAAGTAAAATAAGTTTTGTTCTTATCGATCAGAATCAACAAACTAGGTCTCGTTTTTATCTAGTTGAAATATAGATTTTATACAGTAATCTTTTTTGCCAACCAACCAGTACAGATTTCATCCTTATTGACCAATGAGATTTAACTTGGTTCAACTGAGGTGAGATTCAACAAACTTATCATCAAAAAGTAAGATTCTACTTTTCTTTTTATTCGTACACAAACAGCAGGACCATTCTTCGATAAAATATTAACAATTGACCAATACGGAAATTTACAGATTATTTTTATAATACATGAATCACTTGAAACTCGTGTTTAGGTTTCTTTTTACGACTATACTTGATGTAATTAAAACAATCAACGAAACAGCAGTATAATATAACAGGTTCGTCATCGGGTAACTAAAAAAAATATTGAGAAATTCATTAAATTCATTTCTGAGTTAATATTTATAATTATATTGTGAAATAAAAATGTACTTTTATATATTTAATATATTAATATGTATTGAATATTTACAGTAGAATCGATCGGTGTTTTTTTGGTGATAAGTTTGTTCAATGCAGGAATAGGATCTAATTGTCCTGGTTGTTCTATTTCAAAAGATTTTGAAGGATCTTCGATTATTTCGCTATTTGTACTTAAATATGAACTGTATTCGGATTCACTGGTGTCCGATGATCTTCCAAATTTTGTCATCTATAAAATATTTTCAATAAACATTTGTTTGCATTAGAATCGAATTGAAATTTATTAACAATTTAATTTTAATGATTTAATCTTACATGCAACATCATTAACACGTCATGAAACTCTAGTAACTTTATTATAATTTTTTTTTTTTTTTTTTATTAATATAAATTCATACTAACCCATTGCCATACGTCGAATAGAATCCAAACGTGTATCAAATAAAATGTCATGATAAAAATCGACAATATACACATAGAAAAACTATGAACAAATATTGGATGATCGAATAATTTTTCATCGGTGATCTCATAATGATCAATATACCAATCAACCTGTTTCATTTCCATAATACCAGCTGTGAGCATTGAAATTGTACCAAATATGCATCCTATTAGTGCCTTCGATGATTTCATCGTTAAAACGAAAAAAAAAATTATGCAAATCTTTATCGATTCTTTAGTTTAATAAAATTTAATTATTGTTCCAAGAAAAAACAAAATATATATA